GCTGCTTCACGGTCGCCCATTTTGGTTGAGTACGTGGAGAGATAACACGTGTTTTGTGTGGGAGTGCTGAGATTTGTGAGTGATCAACATCCCCGGGTGATCAACATCCCGGTCAGCTAGCTTACCAGCCATTTAGACGGTGTCACTATCACAGGCACTTAAATAAGTAAACTGCCTTCAAAATTTATTTGGAGCAGCATACATCATTGTTCATACATATTATCGTTTGGGAAAGACAAGTTACGGATGCTTCCAACCTGACTGTTCCCAGACCATGAGTGCGAACAGACTGACGGCACCGATAAGGTTTGTTAAGCTGCTTCAGATTTAGTCGGATCGCCATGTTCGTCGATTTGATGTATACTTACGTACGGCTCCAAAGGAAGATCAGTTTCCGATCCTATATGCAGTCCAACACGTCTTGGTACAGTAGTTCAGAACATATTGTGAGAGCTGTTGTGTATAAGAAGAGATGAAACCAAGGCGTTTTGAGGAGGCACTGAGCATACCAAATCGTTGGTGGTAAGGGTACAGTTGTGGGCATCTGCCAACAACGCCGAAGAAGTTCCCAAACCCGTGGTGATACAAAGCCAAAACATTCGTTCGTTACGGACAGAGAGCTTTTGAGCATCGCTTGATCAAATCAGAACGTCGAGCCAAATATCAACTCGAGAACTGAGCGATGACCAAAGGCCAAGAGAGACTGTCGACAACTTAATGGCTTGCAAAGGTCTACTCAGCGGCCCTGTCCAGTTCCACCCATAATGCGGTCCTTTGTAGACCTCTGTCTAGACTCTTTAGACTTTCCGTCAGCAGCGGTTTGGTTTGCGGCCACCTCAGATTCGAGCTTCTGTTGAGCCTCGTGGAGTCTGCGTTGTCGACCAGCTTCCCACTGCTCGATGTCGGCCTGAGTCAGAGTAATCGTAGTTGGGGCGCGTCGGAGCATATCGATGACGTTTGATCGACTTGTGGAAAAAGATGTAAGTAAAAGATGCGAATGCGATGAGAATGTTCCAGAATATGTCAGAGTCCAGACGATCGGGTTTGATGGTAGGACTGGCTGAAGTGGCTGGACGCGCCTGTTGTTGTGTCGTGTGATGCAGCGTCCGATGAGAATGCGGTTGATACGAAAGGTGAGTTCTTAGTATGTCGTGGAAACGCAGCTTTACTGGAGAGACGAAACGAGTGTCGACGGATGAGGCGGTTTGCAAACACTATAGATCATTCGGGATGGATAAGTTGAGGATGTCGCTAGACGCGAGTAACAGATGCGCGCTCGCGACCAAAACACTGATTTTCAAAACAACCACCAGCTTGTCAAAGATGAGATGAGTGAAATTCGACAAAGAGACTGATATGGTCAAGGCCCAAAGAGAGTGCCGTGCGGGAAGCGGAGCACGTGGTGCGGAGGACCACACTGCAAGATCCCTGTCTGCCAAGACTTCGCGATCACGAAACTTTGGAGTTTAGAGTGACAGCATCAGCGACGGCCATCCACACAGCATGGCTCAGCGACACATGTGCCCTTCAATGGGTGCCTTGAGGCGCTCATTAATAGGGGATGTAGCAGCCCTGCCCAAATGCTCAACGAGGGCACTCCACAGCACAGCGAAGAGACTGGAAGAGCAACCCAGCGATGCATCTCCAGCCCACCGTACGCCTTCAAGACGCTCAATGGTTCTACCAAGTCAATGCTGATCAAGACTCAGCGCCAAACACACGCAAAGCCCGGCAGGCGACTGCTCTCAAGCAGATCACCTCGCTTCAGAACCGCCGCATCCAGCCCGGCGCACTCGCTCGAGGCTCTTTTCCAAGCGGTCAGATGGCACGACGAGCCCCCCGCTCGCCCTCCACTCCGCTCACCAAGGATGGCTTCATCCCCGAAGACAACGCCCCAGCCGATGCGCAGCCAGACGCAAACCCCCGCTTCGCCCGCAACACAGCACGCCCAACGACGACCCGCGGCTCGACCCCTCCCCAGGGCCAGATGGTCCGCGCCCCCTCCACACTGCGTGTAACCCGTCAAACAGTTGACGGCCCTGCTCGTGGCCCCGCTCGTGGACCCAACGTGCGTGGCCCCAATCTACGCGGTCGAGAAGGCGGACGAACAGGACCAGGTGGAAAGCGCGCTGGTGGTGCGCGAGGCAACAACCGTGGTGACGGAGGACCTCAGAAGCGGAAGAAGGGCGCTGGTGGCGAAGAATCGATGCCCACTTCCCTTGCGGACGTGAAGATTGAGGAAACCGTCTCAACGAGCATGCAGCAACAGCTCTTGCGTCTGCAAAGGAAGGAGTGGGACCGCGTGCCTTACGAGCCCAAGTATGCCAAGGGCAGTTTTGCCGCCAATGAGTTGATACACGCTGGAAGGGAGCTGTTCAAGGGCGAGGCCCCACCAGTCAAGTTTTGGGGACCTCTTGAGCACAGAATCGGCGTTGTGGGCATGTTTGGAGCGGAGGCGACTTTGAAGGTTCGCAGGGTGCCCGATGGCGATGCAGAGCCATTTGGACAGGAGGTACTCGAGCAAGAAGGGCCAGTCGAGGCCAAAGGTGCGGAGAAGAAGCAGGCTGTAGCACAATAGAGTGCCATGTGGACTATGTATATTGGAACTGTACATTTACGGATATCAAAGACTCATGATTGTTCGGGATGTGGTTGTTTATTTCTAGCTTGAGGCGTCTATGTACGTGACGTACGCCGTTGCGAGATCACCATGTCTGGCGCGACGCGCATCGCAGATCGTGCCTCTAGAGTTTCCATCAACGAAGTAGCTCAATGCGGCTACAAAGCATCACGACTTATTTGGAAGCCCACACGACCTTGTACTTGAACTGTGTGGGGAAGCTCCTATCTGTGATGAGCAGCTCTTCACCCTCTTCGACCAAGTCGATCATCTTCTTCTCTAGGTTAGGACGTGTTTGCTCTTCGAGGCCTGCGAGCTGCATGTAGAGCGACTTCTCACCCGTACGGATAGAGGGCTTCTTGAGTTGCCTGTGACGGTCAGTATATCATAAACGGTTTCGCGAGAGTGAAGGACATGGATCGGGGAATACATACGCTTCAGGCCGCTCCGCCAACCCATCGATAAACTCCTGCAGCGTGATACCAGGAAGAATCTGGAGAGGACGAGCAATGTTACCAGCACCACAGACGGGACAGTCGTCCTTCTTTTGGTGCTCAAAGGTATATGTGTATACGGAGTCGTCGCCAGTGTACATCATGTAGTTGTCTGTGCCCGGGAAACCCATGAACGGGGCAGTGTTCGTTGCCACCTTGAATGCTTCGTTGCAGCAACTCGCCGCCACGATGGCATTCGTACTCGCAATAGCCGGGATGATGTTTTTAACGACACCTTGTGTCATGCTATAGGTAACTCCTTCAATGTTGAACTCTTTAGCTCGGGCGGATGCCTTGTTGAACAACCAGGTAATGTGCTCTGGGTCGTCGGTATCGAGAGTAATGTCTTTACGCTCTTCTTCCCAGGCGATGATGTGCGCCCATTCGATACAATGTTGTGGTTGACGTGGGATAGTAGCTAGTGTGCACAGAGGCACTGCAGCGCGAGGAGCATGCATGTCGAGCTGGCACTCGATACAGGAAGTCATGGTTGGGAAGATGACACGGGCTTGGCCTTTGAAGCCTTCTGTTCCTCCGTCGATCAACGGCTTCATTGAGTCCGGATCATTCTCATCCACCATACCAACAAGTGTTGCATTGATCCATCGCCTTGCCTCGATGGAATCTAGACCACATACTATGAGTCCGAATTGCATGTAGTAGCTCTCGTCCTTGTCCTGGATTTTGCCACAGTAAGGAGTGATCTTAACGCCCTTTACACGCTTTTCGACGAAAGCAGCAGCAGTCTCAGCCTTGTACTTCCCCACGTCTGAGGCGCGGAAGAGAAATTGTCGATTCAAGTTGCTGACGTCAATGGTATCCATATCGATAACGTGTATGTCTTTGAATCCTGATAGGGCAAGATTCTTGAGGATCTCACAACCCAGACCGCCGGCTCCGCTGGATTTCAGTGAGTAAATATATCAGAGAAAGGTTTGCTATCTCTCATGGTCGAGCATTGACAAGAACATACATGACACTGCATGTCGTTAGCTGTAGTGTCTTGTACCTCAGAGGGAGTAAGTTTCGTACAGAACTTTAAGATTACTTAGGTACTCGATGACCTGTTCGCCAGCCATGAAGGCTTCCTCGTCTGTGAATGGTCCTTTGCGAGTCAGGAAGTTGTCCAGGTACTTCCTATCGCATGATATCAGTCAAGAGCTCCGACATTTTCCATGCTTTCGGCTTACCATCGTGCCCGCGGACTGCTTGTTGTGGCGGCACTCATGTTATCGACGCTGACAGCCATCCTGTGTACATGTGTTGAAGATGAGTGTTGGGAGAGTCAAGTGGAGCAAACCGTGGTTGTAGGCATCAGAGTGTAGATGGCCTGCCAAGCCGCTAGGCTGCGGGCCTGCGCATGGGAAAGGAAACACCGATTGGGTAAGGTTCACCAAGCGTCTACCTCTCGCATTGTTCACGAATACAGCAAAACACAACGTTCTGCACGATTGAGTCAAACCGATCAGGGTATATGTTTCAGGCGGTCATATTTAAGCGTCATGACCGATTTCTTGACGGCCGTATCCACCAAGAAGGTTAAGAGCCCCGAACCTCTCATCCAGGATGTAAGGAGTCTGGACATACAAGAAGATGCACTTTTTGTCAATTCTACAGAATCGGCCCTCGGAGCACTAAAGAACCAACCTAATCGCAAGACAGTTAGCAAAGTCCTGAGCTACCTCACCACAGAAGGATTTAGCCTTCTACTACCGGAACCATTGAATGCAAGCATCGCGCATCAACTCATCAACGATACCATCCCAAATTACTGGAGGACCATTAAAGGCTCGATTGAAGTTTTGAAGCTAGAAGACATTCTCCGAAATCCAACAGGACTTGGACATCTCAATACAAGGCTTCGTTCGCTTATTGCAGACAGTCGCCAAAAGAAGGCACCCGGTGACGCGCGGAATACAGCTGAGCACATCGCGGATACCCTCGAGATATTGAGTTCAGTACTGAGCGGGGATGAAACATCTCACCGCGTGTTGCAAGACGTCTTAGCATATGGTAAGAACTCAACGCAAAGAAAACTCATCTGGAAGGAGTACCTCGCGCAAGTCGCGTCCGGCCGTCTACTATCGATCGCAGCGGAGGCTGAAGACATACTCAAAAAGAGTGATGGGGTTTATCAAGACGCTGTCTGGGTCGCAGACGGTAAAGAGTACGCGGCATGGTTAGGGCGCAACATCGCCATTTTACTCGAGCGCAGCTCAAGTAGCGAGGAGGGTCTCACTGCAGTTATAGAGCTTTGCTCAAAAGCACTGAGCTTGGGTTACACTGGTATGTCAGCGCATCAAGTTCCTTTAGTTTGTGCTAACAGCTCAGATCGGATCGTAAGCTCCCTCTTTCGAGCATTGATTGATAGTAGCTCGCTTGAGCGCCTCCCGAATCTTCTGCCTCGGATGAAAACTTTTGAGCAGCGGAAATATCTCAACGCAATAGTCGTGTTGGTGACCAAAGAATACTTCTCTGTAGAGAACGTCCTTAGAGATGACGCCTCTATTGCAGTGTCTTCCACCGTTTCCTCTGCTGCTGCTCTATTTTATACACTTATCAAGGACAATGACGTTCTAAAAGAGCATCTCGTTTCGTTACTTTCGCGATCAACAATACCTGCGCTCGACGAGTCACTCTTGTCCCGACGGAGTGCATTGGCAGCTCTTGCAAAGGATGACGGTCAGTATAGATTATGCACTCATTGGTACTTGCGACTAACAGCTCATAGAGAAGTTACATACTCTTCTCGAGAATCTCATAAAAACCTTTGGCGATTCTGTATACATAAGGCATACGCCTGTACTGCAGCAAGAAGGTACGTGATGTTTGTACACCACATGATCATCTTTCTGCGATAGCCCCACTCAAAGACTGGGTTGATCAGACCTTCTGGTCCGCATTGCACTTCATGAACATAGCCAGCTGACAAATCTCAGCTCTTGCTCAGACCTTGGCACTATGCAGTGGCTACGTGAAGCGTTCGCAGCCTATGTTTCTCATGATGATGGCAAAGTCAACATATCATGTCAACGGCATGTCAAACCGCATAGGAGCAGCATCTACGCGAGCTCGCTTCTTGGGTATTGCAGTTGGTGTTGCCATTTCCAAAATGGTTGACAAGCCGGAACTTCAACTCAAGTTTGAATTAGAGGGTGCCGAAGCAGAAGAAGCGAGTTGGTATCAACGTCTTACCGAGGTCGACGATAGAGTTGGAGACATTACGGATTTTAAGACAAAACGCGATGACATTGCACCAGCAAAGAAAGTCCAGTCAAAGCCCAAGTCAACCCCTAGAGCGCCCAAAGCTCCCGCAATCACCGAGATGCAAGGCCCACGGGTCGTTGAAGTCATGTCAGACTCTGAAGATGAAGATGCAGATCTGATGGTGTACGAGAAGCCAGACTCTGATCCGGAAGACGACACAGACGACCCAACGGCTATCAACCGCAACAAACCTACCGCACCCGTCTACATCAGGGATTTGATCGCGGGGCTGCGAGACCAGGAGAACTACGATCGCCATGAACTTGCTTTAGCCACCGCAGCATCTCTGATTCGCCGTAAGGCGAACTTCGGAACTGAAGTAACGGATCACCTTGAAGAATTAGCCACTTTGCTTACCGGGTTGCAAGACAATTCGGAGCTAGAAGGCTTCGCACAGCAACGGCAGCAGGCACTGATCGCCGTGCTACTTGCGAAGCCAGCACAAATGGCGCAGTGGTTCGCTCGGTCTTTCTTCTCGGGTGATTACAGTCTACAGCAACGCATCGCTATGCTTACAACTCTGGGCCTCGGGGCGCGTGAGCTAGCAGGTATGAAGGACACCTCGACCAACGATCTGGTACCAGCAAAGCCAGACTTCCCCAGCAAACAGCTTCCGCCGCACCTCCACAAGATTTACGCTGAGGACAACAACGCACCTACAGTAGCGAAGATCTCAAGCAGCATGGCGCGTGAGATGCTGTCACCCATCGCTAGCCAGGCAGCCGACCAGCTCAGCGGCCCTAACATCTTGAAAGTCCGGACCTTCTCTTCGCGCATGGAGGTCGAGAAGAAGCGACACAAGCCCATACCGAACGCACTTGCGCAGATCGTCGCAGACAACTTCTTCTTCCCGCTCAGTGGCCGTTGGTGGCTCCAAATCCGCGCGAATAATGACTCGATATATGCGTCTACTCACCTCCTCCCTCCTTTCTTACAGACCTTGTCATTGCTGTTGAACGCATCTGGCCCGAACACGCTCGCTTTACCGCAGATGACGCGTGAATACTGGGACCTGCTACTGTCGGTGCGCGGACTCGCGAGCAAGGACAAGAACATCCTGAACGCGGTCTTGTTCGGCTTCTTGATGTTGCTTGAAACGAACGAGAACAAGGAGCGGGTGGCTACGGAGCAAGGTAAAGAACTTATGGAGACACAGGCTTGGGTGAGGTCGGTATTCGAAGATTTAGGTACGGGAAGCGAGGAGGATGAGAGGGTACGCGTGTTGGCTGCCGGCGTCGTGGTCCGGTGTCAGGAGGTGATTGAGAAGTACCAGAGGAGGATGGCAGGAGCGCTGATGGACTATTAGCGTGGGTGTAGAGTATATTCGCGCAAGCTTGCGGGAGTCAGATGTTGGGTTCAACCAGTTGGCAGAAAGAGCGGTAATGTTGTTGCCTAGACTCCTACGCTCAACAGTAGAAAAGTCGATCCACCCAGATAATGTTACTTGCGGCAGCGACAATAATGACTCGTTATCGCGATGCCAAAGGCCAGGAAATAGCGAAGACGACATCTCGCGATCGATTTGCCGTAACCTAGTAACCTCGAAAACTTCACGTGTACCAAGCGAGTAGCTATAAAGGCATCCGTACAACAGCGAAGGTGATAGGATCGTCGCGACGCGTAAACCTCCAACGCGTGCGCGAACACCAACAAGTCCCTCAATCACCCAGCGCAAGTCTTCTTCCTCAAGACACCACGTAAAGCGGTGTCATCAATGAAAAAGCGACACAGATGTGTGACCAGCAAAAATTGCCCCGCCGAGATTCCCGAAGGAAGCTCGTGAGAATCCAGTACCGCGCTGTGCAATGCAGACCAGACGCTCAGATGAACCCAATCTTTGAGCTGGGTCATCGCAAGAAGGTAAGTATGCAGAATTACTTTCGAGCGAAGGGCGGTATTTATATCGATAGATACTTGGCACGCTAAAAGACACGTGAGGAGGAGCTAGGCAGTGAGGGTATCTGGGCGAACTGTGCGCTGGTGGGCTTGAAGGTGGTTGGGGAGGTTGGTGCGGGCCCACCTGAAACTATGATTCGTGTAACGGCATTGCCAAAAGCCCACCCTAAAGACACTCACCCAGTTCTGCGTTAGGCTGATAAGGTGGATGACAACGTACACTTTTACTGTGTTTACTATTGTCCAAACTGTCCCGAATAGGTGCTTTGCATCTGGTAAGCCTCCCTTCATTCTACTGCTAGATCACACGACCAGTCCAGCATGAGTTGGGGCTGCAAACAATTTCATGAATGTTACCACCAACCACACAGTAAAGCCTAGCTTCAGGACTGTCGTTCTCGTCCAGCCAGCCCAGAGCTGCGATAGCACCTCCTGCATCATCCCCACGCAGCCATGCATCTGTCGAGGGATTACCCGAGCTTCCTGGTACCCAGGCAATGAGTTCTGTCTCATTCAAGGATGTTATCTCAGTCGCGCGTTTGTCGTCCTGGATAATGTAGTTCTGCGTCACTCCATTCTCACCCAGGTAGTCGGAGGCACCAATCGCCGCATACAGGTTAACGTTGGAGCTGTTCTTTACATCGAGAGAAAGCGCTGCACGAACGTGGTTAACAAAACCGGCCGTTGAGCCTATTGTGCGACTTACGATTGGCCCATGGCTCGTTCCTGGAATCCCAGTAAACCTCCCTCAAGTTGCCCTGCGGACCGCGATGCCATACTCTGATAATGAAAGGACGTTCGACAGCATCGATCGTGGCAGCAATCGCAGTGCCAGGTAGTATCTGAAGAAACGGATCGGCCACTGTCCACTTGCCTCTAGAGTAGCTCCCCCCACTCATCTGTCCATACATGTCCTGGTGGAACGTCCTAATCTGGTTACCAGGGTCGAGGAAATGCACTGCTGCTAGACCCGAATCGCTCGAGATGCCCGAATCGATTATGATATTGCCTGCTCTCCACGTACAGTTTGTGCCACCACCCGAACATAGTCCGCCGATTTCGATCATCTGGGTGTCTTGGTTGTAGTAGTAGATTCGGATCTTGATTTGGAGTTAGTGAGCTGAGCGACTACTATCATCGATAATGGAGAAGCCGATTTCCCCAATTTGCACCTAGCGCTTGAAGCGTATCCTAACGGTATACACTCGCAACGTTCTGCGAGTAATATGACAGAAAGACAAGCGCATACCTCTAGGATACGCTTCGAGTATCAGGCATACTTTAGGGAAAGACGAACAACGAATACCTTCATACAGATCCAATGCTTACCTGGTCTCGGCCGTCATCGACCCAGGATATAGACGCAAGCGGCGAGCCCCTCTTTGCCGGAATAGATAGATTAATGTCGAGGCTTACCCACCCTTCATCGCCAAATATCCTGGCCTTCAATGTCCCGGACTCCAAGTAAAAGATGTGTATATGTCCCAGAGTTGCTATCAGTCAATCAGTCAGTTGTCAGTTCATCTTTGCGGTTCAAACTGTCAGTCTGGAGGTAGTGAACTGACCTGATTGACTGCCAAGACATTTTTTAGAATCGCGAACTGAGACT